CCTATTCCAATCTTCTTTCTCATTCACTCTCCTAAGAAAAGATAATCATAATCCTTTGATCAAACCCGTTGTTTTTAACTACCATATGAATTATAAGCTTTGGAAGCTATTGATACCTACAGATCTACTATCAAGCTCTACAGTAGAATTTGTAGAATGATCATCACCATATCGCATAGTTCAACCTCAACAATGATTTTCCCATCTCTTTTATAAAAAAAAAATTTGCGATACACAAACTAAACCTACAGCGAGCTCCGTTGGCTGCTTTCACATGTCCCCTGTCAATGACAATAGGGGACTAGGGCTGCTTACTTCAAGATTATAATTAAATGTCACTCACCATCGGTGTTGAACAATTTCTTTCTGGAAACCTTGTTAGGGAGCTATGCTCATCTTGGTATAAGTCATCCTTACCTTTCGAAAAACATGCATAAAATAAAATACAATAGATAAAACATACAAACTGGGAACAGAATATCACTCATCTCACGTAACCCACAAATATATTCTTTCTCTTCCAATTCATCTTGTTAAGGCACACTTGACAAATCGTATCACTACCTGCATTACAACTGTCGACACATAGCCAGAGCAGTTTTCAGCAAGTTCTTTGGAGACACATGGTGAAGTTCCATAGCCAACCGCAGATACAATGTCAGGGCTAAAACCCAGCTCCTTTGGTGATTTTCTGTGGATCATTATTGCCAACAAAGAAGCTATAGCCCCTCCTAGAGAATGACCCACGAGTCTTAACTTAAATCCCTATTAAAGAGTTCCCCACATCTCATGCCATGAATGAGAAAAACACAAACAAAGAAATGAAAAACAAAATAGATGAAGTAAGATCATGCCCACCTCATGTTTCTCCAAGCATTTTCTTATGATTTCAATCTCATGATGGAGAAACCAACGTGCAGATTCAGCAATTCCAAAGTGGGTTGAATAGCCTTCAAAGGTGACTTCACCATCACTTGAGGAAAGTATATCAGTGATAAGGTCATAAAAAGTATGTGTTCCCCTATGCCTAAAACATTACATCTTTTACTGCATGTCAATGCCAAGATAATAGCCGGCCTCATTACAACACTGGCTTCTTACCAATTTCTTGACATTACTTTCGCTTAGCATGCTGCCTCCTGAAAGAACAACAGGAACTATCCTTATAGCCCTTTAGCCAACCAATGGATATATGAGATCTTGAACCTTGAAATCCGTAAGATATTGATCACTGGAGATGAAAACTTTAAATAATATGCTACACTACACCTGAAAGAATCGCATATCATATGAAACTATAAATTATATATGCCTTCTGCACTAATGCATTTCAAGTTACACTTGATTCGACAATAGCTGATGCCTTTGTATATCTTCATGGATTATAGAAGCTGACGAGATATATCATATACAGCCCTTGTAAGTCACGCCAATCTCCAATCCTTGATTCCAAGCTTGCTCCTTTTGATGCTGCATTATTTCCTGTAGGATCGTAGCTTTGTGGGGGTTTTCTTTCCAATTTTCGTATCCTGCATAACATGGACAATTAAGTCGTCTTGGTTTATGTAAATCAACTGGGACTTAACTATGATCAGGTAGTATTTATGTACACAGGAAAAACATATGTTAATGATCTAAATAATTTTGCATGTTGTTTATGAGTCATGGGGGCACGCCTGAGGACACACAATGGTAATGCTGTTTTTCTTTCTTGTACCTCAAAAGTTCAAATCTAGAACTAGTCTCCTCATCCCACTTGCAAGGTGAGGGCCGTGTACATCTACCCCCTAGACCCCACCAGAAGTCTTCAAGCCTCATGCACCTCATCTTTCTATCATGTAACTGAGTCCTACTGGCTCGACTTCTTTATAATAGTTATTTTAAGAAATACTCACCATTTTACCGTCACACTAACTGTCTAAATTTGCCCAATTAAAAAAGTTATGGCAATATGACTTAACACTTAACAGACCTGTTGGCAGAGCCCACCTACAAAATTGCAGAGCTGGTTCAAGTGTCTTGGAGAGCCAAGCCAACTCTAACTTCCATTTACTATCAGAGGTATCTTCATCATCAGAGCTATATTTGCTAATCCCATAATTTCCATCCGCCTTCTTAACTGTAGATTTGGAAGAAATCTGTTGCTTTTCTTGCTCTTCTTTTAGCTTATCTTCTACTTTGTCTGCTCTGGACCTTTGTAATTGAAGCCGTATAAAAGCACTATGCATATTGTTCCAATGTGGTTTTTCACGGTTGAGAAAATGTTTTGTAGAATCTGCACACTCAATTGCAAGTAATAGATATATGGCTATAAGATATTGGATAAAATTTTCTAGCATGAAAATTGTATTTAACAAAGAATAATGAAACTTAAATACTAGTCAATAGAAACTTGGGACACATTCTGATAACATGTTAGGTGAAATCAGATCTTCATGAACAATTACGGCATCAACCCCATAACCAGAGGGATAACACCAAATCTGATGTTGAAGACAGGGCACTAGGCATCTTTCAACTATTCTTTTGCACAAGAACTGCATATACTCTACACCTAAACAATGTCCTACTGTCCTCTAGATACCGCTCACTTGATAAGCTATATGAGTCCATGGCCGTGCAATAAGTGTGTGGGTTCAGACCATACAATGCACCCACCCAGCACCCTTCCTGCTGGCTTCCCCAAGTTCCACATCAGTGGTAAGCCCTCACTCATGTACAACTTTTTAAAAAATAAATAAAAGCATTCGTCCCTGATGGGCCCAATGTATATAATATTAAGCAAAGGGAGACAAACTGGTGATTACGTACGTAAATTATAGTTTCAAGTATTTGTATCGGACTGTGAGTTTCAACAAAACAGTTCCTAAAAATTAAAACAGGTACATAAACTTTATATAAAATCCAATATTAAGTGATAGTCCCGTATCAAAATCTAACTCTAAATAACTGTATCTTCCTACAATTCACAATTTAAGATCAAGAAATTATTGTACTGTCATTTAGTATTTAGCAGTTTAATTAGGGTGAGTGTTTGTAACTTCGCATTCAGAATTACTTTGGGTTAAAATTTGGGTTTTGGCCAACCACAATTAAGTTGGTAAAATTGGGTTTTGAAACATTTAAAGCATGTTTATCAGAACATTACAATTGTGCTTTTAACAACGAATTTCAGACCAATCACATGGCAGTATTAATAGTAAGAGTGAATGCTTGTAGAAAATAGATTAATAAACCGTAAATCACATTACCAATCCATGGGATTTCCTTTAATAATATGCACAGTAATTCCCCTTCGTTTTCTCCTGCCCTCATTAACTATCGTAATTGTCTGAAGAACATTTCATCAATAATATTTACATATCACACTAATCTCAGCACCCCTTATACATTTTGCTATCAATCTGAAAAATCCATTAAAAATCAATCCCTTAAAAATCAAGGGATTATTGTGTAATCAATCTGAAAAAAATCAAGGGGCACTGTAATTTATTCTATCATACAACAAGATAGAACTTAGGAAATTAGACAATGAAACATAATAAACGATGTTTCAATCCCTGAAACGATCTCCTCACACGTTCTAATCCACTCTTCTAAAACCAATGTCGCTCCATATAAGAAGCTTCTCTCTACCAACCGACGATTCATTATTGTAATTTCCCTGATATTGGTGGCAGAGTAAACGTTGTTACCACCATCGCGTTTTGCCCGTGTACCAACTTCAGCATTAGATTGATCATGAGAACTAAAAGGAGGAGAACTTACAGATATTACGGAGCAATTGCCTCAAGTATTGGGTATTCATTTGGAAGAGGAATCACGAATTTGATAGAACGAAGAGAAAAAGAAAACAAAGAGAAACTCTTAGACGCAAAAAGGTGGAACCGCAATGCGGCGTCGTACAAACGAGGCACCGCTCAGGAATACCTCTACAAGTTTCACACCCGCCTTTCCAAAGAAACAATAAATCATTTTATTCATGATTTGAAATTTTCTTCAAAAATACATTAATTAAACAAATAAATATTACGTAATCTTCTATATTTATAATACGACGAATTAATTAATTTTGGGTCAAGAATATTTGGTCCTTAAATTTTTTTTTTGCTTCGAAAATGTACCCTTGAATTGTGAAAATTATTTCACTTCTATTTTACACTCAAAGCGTCCCCTATTCTAAATAATTTAACTCTAGTTATAATTTGTACTTTAAAGACTAAATGTAGAGTATTTTAAATAAACAAAAGAAATAGAAATATTAAAAGAAAATATGAAAAAAATAACGAAAAAGATGTTTTACCCATAGTTTTTAATTTCACTGTATATACGCCGTATTATACATATAATCAAACATTAGGTTTTTACAAAATGATAAATAATATTTTGAATTAAAGTTATGTTGATCATGACTCATGAAGTTAAATGTTTTGAAGGAAATCAAGTGAAAATAAGAATAAAAATTTTGAATAAAGAAAACTAATATTCTCATTTATTTTTTTTCATATACACATTAATATATATATATATATATATATATCTATATATATATACTTTATAATTATATATTATCATAGAATATATATCTATATTCTTCTCGACCATTTTTCAGATGTTTAGCTGACAAGTTAGAATCAAAACCACATGTATAAGTAAAGTTAAAAATCCTATAATGATTAATTATATTTTAATAAAAATAACATTAATTTTTTTCTCAAAATATCTAAATACTCGTTATCATGTGCTTAATATGTTTTCCTTTTCTAGTTTGGATATAATAATTTTGTAAATTAACTGTTGTTCACGACTTGTGATATATATATATTTATATTATATTATATATAATATATATAATATAATATATATATATATAATAGTATATATCTATAATATATATATATCATATCTATATATATATCTATCGATATATAATAAAGTTTTTCTTGAGAAGAAACATACAGAAATCAAGTCATTGTCAATCTTTTCTTTAATAAAATATTTTATTTTATTTTATTAATTATATAATGTTGTATTGGATTATGGGTTAGGCTAATTGCATATTTCTTTTTATAATATAACTTTATAGGTCCATCTTATTTTATCTTTAACTCTTCTATCATAAATTTTAGTCATAATAATTTACATATATCCTAACTAATGTTCGAAATTTTGCTTCAGCATTGGACCTAGCTATCACACTTTTCTTTTTACTCTTTCAAGTATCATGTTTCCATTAGGAAAGAACAATAATTAGTGGTTAATCTTTTATCAACAACTAATATTGCATAATCAGCATCAATATATGCTACACGATGGACATTCTTTTTTCTTTTGAACAAAATTCCTTTTCATGGTGTCCCTTTCAGATATTAGATAGTTCTAAGAGCAACTTATAAATTGGCTTCTTTTGTTTGATGCGTAAAATAATTTACCAAACTCATAGCAAAAACAATATCAAGTCTAGTGTGAGATAAATAAATAAGTCTTCCTACAAGCCTTTGGTACATTTCTTTATCTACACATCATCCTTTCCATTCCCAACTTTACATTTGGATCAACTCGCATGCTCACTGGTTTGCATGTCATTTTACTTGTTTCTTTGAGCAAATTAGTAATACACTTTTGTTTGGATATAAAAATTCCTTTCTTAGAGTGAGCAACTCTAATTCCTAGAAAATATTTTAATTTTTCCAGTTTTAGTTTCAAGCTCTTTAGCCAAACATTGACTCAAACTTTGTTGTTTATACTCATCATTTCCACGCACAATAATTCATTTACATATAATGATAAAGTGGTCACTCCACCTGAATCACAATGTTTAATAAATAAAGTATAGTCTCTTAACACATTTGCTATTTAAGTCTCATCCTAACCTCCCAATAATTCTCTAGGTCTTGTTTCAACCCTCATGCCTTCCCATTTGCACCTTGTTGTTTTGCCACAATTTGTATGTATATCGGAGAGGTTACCGTCCACATATATTTTCTTCGTCAATATCTCCGTGTAGAATGCATTTTTCACTCAAATATACTACTACACAATAGCACCTTTCAATATTGTGAAGAATAGTAGCCAACAAAATGGAAGGAAAGTCATCTAAGTTATTTTCTAACGAACACAAAATTGTATGTTTGATTTTGTTATCTAGCATTAATTCCAAATTTTTTTTTTTTTTTTTGCTTTTTTTTGCTTATTCTTTTTTTTTTGCCCTCACCCAGACCGCTGAGAAGAATTTAAAAAAAAGGATATTTTTTTCTTATCGCCTTTTTCTTTCTTTTTAGTTTGCTTCTTTTTTTTTTTTTACTTGTTTTGCTGCCGTTTATTCGTTTTTTGTGCTTGCCCTGCTTTCTGTTGCTTTTCCTTCTTTTATTGCCTGTTCATCTTTTTTTCTTTGCGCTTTGTTTTTACTTTCCTCTTGCTTTTTGTTTTTTTTTTTTTGCTTTCTATTCTTTTCTTCTGCTTGCCCTTTTGTTTTGCCTGCTTTGCCCTTTTTCTTTTTTTTGCCTTTGTTTTTTTCGTATTTTTTGCGTTTCCGCCTTGGCTATTTGCTTTTGCTTTTTTTTTTTCTGTCGCTCTTCTTTTTTTTTTTTTGCGTGCTTTTTTTTTCTTTTGTTGCTTACTCTGCTTTCGCCTTTTTTTCGCCTTGCTTTTACTTATTGCTTTTGTTTTTTTTCTGCCTTTTTTTTTCCCTTTTTTTTGTTTTTTGCTTTTGCTTTTTGCTTTTTTGCTTTTTTTGTTTTTTTCGCTTTTTTGCTCGTTTTTGTCTCTTTTTTCTGTTTTTTTTTCTTTTGCTTTTTTATGTTTTGCTTTTTGTCTTTTTTTATTTGCCTTCTTTTTATGCCTTTTTTGTTTTTTCTCTGGTCCTTTTTTTTGCCTTGCTTTTTTATCTGCTGTTTGCTTTTTTTTTTTTTTTCTTCGTGCTTGTGCCTTTTTTTCTTGCTATTGTTCCCTGCTGCCATTGCTTTTTTTTCTTTTTTTTGCTGCCGGCGTCCCTTTTTTTTCTTTTTGTAGCTTTTTTGTTTGCCTTTCTTTTCTTTTTTTTTTTTTTTTTTTATCTGTGCTGCCTTTTTTTCCTGCTTTGCCTTGTTCCCCTTTCTTATTTTTTTTATGCTTTCTTTGCTTTTGTTTTTTATCCTTTTTTGCTTTCTTTCTTCTTGATTTTTCTTTTGCTTGCTTTTTTTTTTTGTGCTCTTGTTTTTGCTTTGTCTTTTCTGTTGCTATTTTTGTTTTCTTTTTCTTGCTTTGCCTTTTTTTGCGTTTTTTTTTATGCTTCGCCCCCCTTCGATCTATCTGCCCCCTCTTCCCCCATGGTTATGACATAACATATCAAAGTATAAAGCCGATTAACGATACACCAATTAAATAAAGATTAGGTAATAACATACATCCCGTACATAAAGAAACTAAATCTGGAAAATATACAAAAAAGAGATAAATACACTCCTAACGAAAAAAGGTTTTATTCCATGATCTTTTAAACATAGGTTCCTCATTGTTATCTAAGAATTATAGTTCAATTAATTATTGTTTTAGATTTTCAAATTAATCAATGTAAATTCTCAATTAATTTGTTGACCTTCTTACTATTAATCAAAATACATTGTCAATTAAAAACAAAAAACTTTGTAGATTAATCATAGTAAATTTAATCAAAATACATTCTGAAATAAATATTATTATGCTTAATCATATTATTTTAACTCTTGTATCAAGTAAAAAGCTAACTAATCAAAGTTATTATTGATTAATTTGTGTTAAAGTTTTCATCTTTAATCAAACTACATTATCAATTATTGACAAAAAAACTCATTCAATCACATGAAAATTTCTAAATTTAGTTAAAGTACATTCTCAATTAAAATTAAAAACCCTTAAACTCATATGATTGTTATGTAGATTTGACATTGTACTAACTTGTTACAATGTAAAAATTATTACTTTATTTGATTAAAAAACAATAAACATGTATTCATCTAACCTCAAAATCTAGTTAAGAAATTATCCCAGAATCAACCCTAAAGGTTTAACACTCCATAAAGTGTAGAAATAACATAAAATTAGAGAGGGTGGAGAACGTGAAAGATGGTGGAGAGTGCAAAATTAGGTCCCTTAAATGGTTCCTAAGTTCCTCCTAAGGTGTTTCCTTAAGTTTCTTTATATATAACAATTGGACTAGGCTTTATTTTGGTCTTTTGTTGCTGTAATATTCTTTCTTATAATGTAATTTCCTCCAATTATCTTCTAAATAATCCAATATCTTCAAGATATATTTGATTGTTGCAAAGATCTAAAAATGATTAAGAACATCTTGTAAGATTCAAAAAGATTTAGCAAATATTATCTTTTGATATTTTATGATATAGTTAAATAAGATAATTATTTAACAATATCAACTAAATATCTGAAGATATATTTTTTCCAAATTATCTTTTATCATAAACATCTATAAATTATCAAAGCCCGTTTTATAGAAAAAGTAGAGAAAACCCTAAAGTCCAATTTTTGTTGTTGGTTTACGCTTCTTGACTTAGCTAAATCTCTTCATTTTTTTTATGTTTTTCTTGTTTTCTTTATGTAATGTTTGGCTTGCATTCTTGCAGTTATGATTATTTGCTATTCTTGGATTTATCTTTAAGGTGTCATGAAATTTTAATAAATTTATTTCTACACCTTCATGAGTTCAACTTAATTGTAGCTACACTAACACACCTCAAATATTTAAAGAACATTTATTCAACTAAAAAGCTATTTTTAACATGTTTTTGTACCTCATGCTCAATAGACCTAATTATAACAAATCTTAATTAAAACATGATTTTAAAATACAAAAATGAACTAAGAATCCAATTAAAGGCTAAATGATGCACTCATCTTACCTCCCCTATATATTTCTTTTTCAATATGTTTATGTAGAAATGCATTTTTCACATTAAAATGCAATAAATTCTAATAATTGTTTGCTACTAAAGA